CGGACTCCAAATAAAAAAGCCCTGAAACACATGGTCTCCATTACTGAGGCAGGGGCTCAGATGTGTTCTCGGGACAGCTCTGCATCCCGGCTCTTCTGCCTGCTCTCTCATGTCTTTAAAAATGTGAAGGTGTTGAATACGTCCAGAGAGAATCGGAGGGCAGTTACCCGGAGCAAGGGAAATCCCACAGGACTGAAGATGGGGTCTCGGGTTTCCCAAGACACGTTCAGGCGGGAATTGCCAGGATCCTGGCAGCAGCATTAACGGGCCGCAATGAGTGAGCTCGACTTCGACCGCCTGAGGAGCCCTTCCCCACAGCGGTCCGGGCTCTCCCTTAGTTGCCAGACTCAACCACGAGAACTCAACCACGGTTTGAATAGACCTCAAACCATTGCACTGAGCAGTCTATAGAGGTTGTTAAAAGCACTCGGAGTCAATAAACCCTAGCAAATGTGCATTAAGAGGCAACATGGAATAGAAGAATCAGGAAGCAACAGAAAGGAGCAGATCTAGGTCTGAATCTGTCTCTGTCACTTACCAGTGTAAGATCTCAGGTAAATCCTTCATCTTCTAACAGCTTCTGCAGCCTAGGATATTAATAGCTATGTGACAGGACTGTCTTAAGAACTAGAGATAAACAGCACATTAATTGCTTAATACAATGCCAGGCATATTTTGGCAGGTCTTCTGATCAAGTCCACCTTCACAGAATCAGAAGCAGGTAGTTAGTCTGCAAAGAAAGAAGCCTCTTTCTCAGCCTGCAGTGGCAGAAACCAAGATGCCTTCATTCCACTTGAAGTCCGCCCAGAAGACAACCCAGTAAGGATGAAAATAATCCAGGTGAGCTGCTGCAGTGGGAAAACATGTTGAAATCCCTCCTACCTGGCCAACTCCCTCTCCTTCCCCTTCCCGCCCCCCCTTCCCTCCCCTTCTCTCCCCTCCTCTCTTGTCTTCTTCTTTCTTCTTTTCTCTGCTCTTCTCTCCTGCCCTCTTCTCCTTTTCTCCTCCTCCTTCTCCTCTTCCTCCTCTTTCTTCTCCTCCTCTTCCTCCTTCTTCCTCTTCCTCTCTCTCCCTCTCTCTTTCTCCCCCCGACCATGTCTCTATTTGAAAAGGCCCTAGTGCCATGTCTCTATTCGCAAACACACCAGCACCAACATGGCAGCCACCAGCAGGGAAAGAAGCAGCCAGGAGAGGCCCCTATTTGCTGTTCAGCCCCCAATGTCTCAGTTCCTGTTTCCAGCATACTAACAAATAACCCTTGACTGTTATTCGTTAATTCAGTACAAACTCAGTGCCATTTCGCAGGGGAATACCAAATGAACTCGAGCTGAACCATCACCTCGTCCCAGGGAGCGTGATGACGTGGGAACGAGACAGTATAGGACCCTGCCAGCATGTAGGGCAGACAAAGCGTGGAATTCACTGTGGCTAATTCCCAAGAAGGGATTTCACAAGGGCCCAAATCCTCCAGAGCATGAAAGTCACACGGGCTCTCACCAAAGAGGAAGTTAGACACAATGCAAGGAAAGGCTTGGGGGCACTGGCTGGCTGCCCTGGGCTCGGATAGGCTGGTCTGCGCAGCCAGGCCAGCAAGTACACGCCAACACAGCAACAGCACGGCCAGGTGAGGGAGATGAAGCTGTAACAGCAGGTATAACGCGACTGTCAGGGAAGGTACTTCCTGGTAGAACTATTGTGGATGGAAGACTTGAGAAGGGACAATTAGCTTCCCCAATCCAATGAATCGCAAGACCAAAGCCTGTTTCTACTTATCAGTAATTACTGACCATGTCCTCGGAGCCAGCACTGGATAGCAGTTGTGATAGATTCCGAAGTAATACAGTCTCTGTCCTGAAGGAGCCAACTGTCTGGTTGGAAATGCAAAAATAGCTCTCATGAAAAAGTCATCCTTGTAAAATGACGTGCCTCTCAAAGTTCAGATCCATGCCTTGCGGCTTTGTTTAACCCTAGCACCTAGCCCACTGCCAGGCACTCGGTTAGACTGGAAAATAGCTGAATTCAAAATCATGACATATTGACTAGAAATAAGAGCTCAGGAAAGAGAAAGTTTGATGTAGATACAGGTGGTCACGAGTGTCTTCTCAGAAAATGTGGAAAGAATGTTAGAAGTGATAGAGAAAAGAGAACATCCCAGAAAAGAGGCACAGCGCATATAAAGACATAGCATAAGAAATTGTAATCCTATGTGTTGATTTGAATTACCATTTCTTAAGGGGTGGTCCACAGACCACCCACGGTGGATTCTGGCCCCAGCAACTGAATTCAAATCTCTTGAGAGTGCAGCCCAGGAGTTTGCATTTCTAATAAGCAGCCAGGCTCTTTTAGTGCTCATCAAAGTCCAGAACCATTGGTTAAGGTAATCTCAGACTCAAACAAAAGGCATGTTCTTTTCTTAAAGACAGGCAGGAAGAAAAATAAAAGGTAGAGAAGGAAGCAGAGGAAGGAAGGAAGGAAGGAAAGGAGGGAGGGAGGGAGGGAGAGAGGAAGAAACCACAATAGACGACATTGGCTATATAGGAAATAAAATAGGAGGAAAATTCACAATCCTAGAAACCCAGAACAGTAGTAGAAGAAGGAACAGAAATAAGGAAATTGAAAGGCACAGGGGCCAAGAAATCAGTTTGGTGTGAGTCACAACAATGGCGGGTCCAGTGAAACGCAGATAGAATCGCACTTGCACCCGTAGATGATTAGAAAAACAGGATCAGAAAAGAGATCAGAATTCAAGGTTAAAAATTATAGATTTCAGAATTAAAACTGGAGAAATGATTATTTTAACCAACAACAAAAGAAATTGTCCAGTACTATCAGAGTAGAAGGAACAGTAGACCCTCTTCTAAAAGGAAAAAAGTTCAAGAACTTTCTAAACATGGTTTAAAATAATAATTACAAAAGTAATACTTCATGGAATCATGAAGAGTTGAGCATAATCCTTTTAAAAGGAAAGAATAAAAAGAAATGGAAGACTCATGCAAAAAGAACTTCTAGGACAATACCCAAACCGGCAGCAGGTCCCTCACCCCGGCTGCGGCATCCGCCCCGACGGTCTCGGCTCCTAGGTTTCTGCTACACTCGCCTCCCATGCTCTCTGGGAGGCCTTCAGAGTTCATCAGCTGTTATACTGATGGTACGTAGATACCGCTTCCCACCAAATAATGACAAAAAGGCAGAAAAGCAAAGACATGTAATTGACTGGTTCTATAAGCCAGCTCATGAGGTAAGGTATAAGCAATTACAATTACACAATACCAAATCACTTGTCTGATTTTCTTCTGAATTGGCCTTTGTGTGTTTGTGTGTGTGCATGTGTATATGTTTGTACCGAGCCAATACAATAGTGGCTAACAAAGAAAATGTGCTTTACAATAATAGAACCAGCCCAAATATATTAGAATTAAGTCTCTGATAACCCAACATAGGTGGGGACCAGAAAACATCTATCCCCTGGGACTTTTGTATACCCCACCACAGTGGGCAAAGTAGCAGCAAGCCTGGTTTTGTGATTTACACAATCCTCAGGCTGGTCCGCTTTGCTCCAAGAGCAAATAGGAAGAGATGCAACTTCCTATATCTCTTTTCTCTTTGAGTCTTAAAACCATTTTCCAACAGACTCTTCTATTAAAAGTATGTTGCAGCCCTGCTGTCCTGGACCCATGAGGCCCTGGTCATGTTCGGCATGAAGTACAAGACCCTCCTTGGGTTTTTAAGCATTTCCTACTTCTCTCCCCCCTCCTTCCCCGCTCCTTGGGACTCGGAGCATCTGGGGTGTAACAAACACTGGAAAGCGTTGATCCGCGCTGGACTAGGGCAGGCCCTCCCGGACTCCACTGGCCTCTCCGCCTACGCCAGGCGGCCACTGGAGTCAGGCCGGGGTCGCTGATCCCACCACTTACTTACGAGCCCTGTGATCTCACAGAAGCCACTCAACTTCCAGGAAATGACGTCCTTCTCGGAAAAAAAGGAATTGGAATAATAACAGCAATCTGATGGACTTGTGAGAATGAAGGACGGACACACGCATAAGGCACTCACTACAGCACGTGGACCGCGGCGCTCCAGGAGCGAGCGCCTCATCCCTGCGCAGGCGCCTCCGGGCTGGAGCCCTCCGCTCCCACCCTCACCTGGCCACCGTGTCCACCCGGGACAGTCCCAACCCAACTCCTAGGCTTCTGTTATGCTCACTTCTCATGTGTCAAAAACACGAGTTTAGGGACTGCTTTGGAAAAGGGTGACAACTGCTCCAATCAAAACGAAAAATCTATGTTGAGTCTATTGACTTTTGCAAGATTCGTTGGCTTGGGGATATGTTTGCATGACACTGTCACTTTTAGATTTCTTAAAAAAATAAATGTTGACTGTATTTGTATATATATTATGTCATATATACCCACAAATAGACTGTAAGACTGTATGTAATCATATTTGAGCACTTAGGCTGTGCCAAGCACTATGCAGAAGTAGCTCGTTTTTACCGCGTTTCATTGTGCAGAGGAATAATTTCCGCAGCAACCTTATGATGTAAGTGTACTTATTACTCCTGTTTTACAGATGAGACAATGAGGCCGAAGGACCTTCAGTAACTTAGGCAAAGTCACAGGGCTACTGGGTAAATATTATCACACTCAAATCTGCTAAATAACTCATTGTTTTGATGATGATTGCGATTTCTTTTAATTGAAGGTTCGGAGGCTGTGGTTTAACTGCTTTTAACTTCGAATGAGGCGCACTGCTGAGCTCAAGTAGAAAATAAACAGGAGGACAGGTGTGAAAGAGAGCGATGGAAGTTGTAACCCGAAGCCTCCTCCCGCGCCCCCCGCCCCGGAGGTCTGGAGGCTGCACCCAGCCGGTGCCCGGCTGTAAACTCCCTTGGGTCTGGCGCGGTTCTTTCTTCCAAAGTTGGAGCTCTCCTTGGTGGGAGGGGGTGGGGAGGAGGGTAGGCTGGTGACGTCACTGGGGAGCGGGGATAAAGCTCTCAGGACACAGTCCCAGCGAGGACAGTGCCCGGGGAGCACAGAGGGCTCTCCAGCTCAGGAACACTCGCCTTGCACAGGGCGGCCCCTTGCTGCGCCCCCACCCGAAGAAGGCCGCGCCAGGAGGCGCTATGCCCCAGAACGTGGTCCTCCCGGGCCCTGCGCCCTGGGGCTTCAGGCTCTCGGGGGGCATAGACTTCAACCAGCCATTGGTCATCACCAGGGTAGGTGTTTTCCGTTCTTCTGCTACAAGCCGGGGACTCTGGCTTGCGGCAGGTCCCCCTGGAGCACAGAGTGGCCAGTGAGCGTGGGCGCGCTGGGTAGGTCCGGGGGTTGGGGCTCACAGTTGGAGGGGCTGCGGCACGTTGGCACAGGGAGGTCTAGAGGATGCAGGGCAGCTTAGAGAACTGACCGTGTGTGCAACCCCCTAGGTCCCAGCAACTTTCTGGCAGGAGCGGCAGCGCGATTCCTCTGGGCTGAGGCCAGGCTGCCCAGGCTGGCGCTCCTTCCAGTAACAATGGTGCTGGGGGCTCAGGGGGAGCTGTCGCGGCCGGGGAGGAGGAGAGTGAAGGGACTGTCGCTGGCGCCTGTTTCCTGGAGCCACACGCGCCGCTAGGCGCTGTCCTTGCCTGGATGAAAACTTCAGCCGGGCGCTGTTCAGGGGCACGAGCTGGGCCTTCCAAGTTGGAGCCGCTCGTATCGGCCCAGACGGGGAAAGTATTGCTAATCTGCAGTCCTGCGTTTCCAGGCATTTGGAATAAATATTTTCCACAGCTGGGAACTTGGCTGAGGAATTATCACCTATAACTCAAACTACAAAGGAAACGGGTCAGATAGTTTAGTTTATCTGACGTAAAGTCACCATTTGGCCTAATAACTCCGAAAATGATGCTTTGCTATTGAAGTCAAGCTTTCCTTACTTAATAGTCTTCCAAGTGTTGTCTAATTCGGGAAAAAGAAAATGGAAACTTCAGGGTTTCTGTCCTGTCAGGAAACTTCTAGTTGTTTTGGTTGATTTCTTTCTAACAAGTATTTGTCTTAAAAGAAAATTGTTATTTCAATAACTGCATATAAAGCATATTAACCCTAATACATTTTAATATTTTTTATTTTTTCTTTCTTACTGCTTATACTGTACCTTATAATCTGAGTGGTTCACATAGATTTTTGAACAAGGTACACCTTTTAAAGTCCATCCTATTTATACATCTATGAGATTTGGGAACCAATGTCTTATAAAAATATCTCCAAGCGTGTATCATACAGATGCATACCATGGAACATTTCAAGCTTTGGTTTACATTTCTCAAAAACATATAAACACATCTGACATGTGTTTTTGTATGCGACATGAAAACTTAACATATCCCCAAAAATGTCCCTAAGTAAAGTGAGCAGAAAATGGCTCCGTGATCTGGGCCAGCAATGCCTTTTATGGGTTTACCAAAGAAAACAGTTTCCATTATCTCTACTAAGAAATATTTTTTAAGTTTCTGAAGTAAACTTTTCATTTGCTTGTATTATAGGAAATAAGTGTTTGAATTCTAACAAAAGATAAATCATTATTTATATTACATCCTAAAGAAATAATGAAGTGATTTACAAGGGAAGTATCTTGCTTTTACTATGTATCATGTCACTGTGATTCATCTTATGTTTGAAATTTGAGTTGTTGACATTTGAAACAACATTTATCTAGAGCTGTGCTTATGCGCTGGGATTGGACTGCAGGCGCTCTTTGTAAATGTATTTGATTTGATGGCAATTATTACTTGGGAAGCCAATTCCGGTTTTAATTTTTAACTCATTACTAATTCCTATGACTCGCTTTGACACTTGATTCAACAACAGTGCATGACCATATATGATTACTGCGTCTGACCATGCCTCTTCACTTCCATTAATTTAACTCAAGGAGAGCAGGTGAGAATGAACTGCTTTGGATTTCTGGTGTCCCCCCAACCGTGCACATGGTAGATTCATGCCGAACAAATGCAAACACATTCACTTGAGCTTTGTTGCTCAGTGAACACCTAATTGAGATTATCTCCACTTAAACTGTAAGAATACTAAAGAGCATTTGAAAAAAGACTAAAAGATACTGCACAAAAATAATCATCAGTGTTATAAGTAGGTAGTAGGAGGATTCTATTACTTTGATAATCTTTATATTATGTGAAAAAGAAGTGTAAAAGGTTGCTCACCATGTCTCCTCTAAGCCCTTGATATGCACGGACTCGCTTAAATCTCACAACAATCCAATTAGAGTAGTGGCACTATTATCCCTTTTTACAGAAAGCTTCTAGAGACTCATGAATTACGCTGCCAATGACCATGAGTGGTGGGACACAATTTGATGGTGGGTCTGCCTGCCTCCACACGTGTGAAAAATGCTGCTTATCATACAGCTATTCCCAAACAGGTGTTTTGTGCCATCCAGTTCATCACATGGTTCTCGGGCTGATTCTCCACCATTAAGATCTACCGCTTTTCTTTGTTCCCACCGCTGTCCCTCTTCAAGAATTCCTTATGTCCCACTGGCTGTTGGCCTCCCTCTCCAAGTCACCCTGCCTATTCTTCCAAGACATCTTGGAAGTGCAAGTTTGCGCCTGTCTTCCCCATGCTTCCACGCCCTTCGACGGCATCACCAGATTACAGTGACTCACATGGGCAGCCTTCGCACACTCACAGCCTCGGCCCTCTGTTCCCAGCCCGAGGCTCTGACTCCGTTTCCTCCCTCTCTGGCTCTTCTCTCCCCTCCCCTCCCCCGCCCCGCACCCAGGCAGTGGGGCTACTCACAGTTCTTCTCACATAGCTTCGCTCCGCCGTCAGCTTCTCCAGAACTCCTGCCTCCCCCACCCCCCTGTCCACTATGCCAGCGGACACCCAGTCAAATGGCATGTGATCCCTTCGATGACCATCACTTCTGACCTACGACCTCTCCTCCTTCGACCACAGATGTTTGCGTCCATCTGTATCGCACAAATCTCATGCTCCCCAAGGGCAGGAACTTTCAAATGCGGGGAGGGGGGGGTGACTCGGTGCCCAGCACCATGCCTTGTGCATCATATACGTTACAGAATAAATATGACACAATGTGAATGATTGACTAAATTGTTCTCTTTTTAACTATCACAAATAAGTACAGATTGTGTCCTCAAATATATTCCATGATAAAGACTAATGACAATTATTTTGTGAATTGATTTATCTATTTTAGATAAGTTCTTAAGTGTGTAAAGAATTAAAACACCAGTGCCTGCACTCAGTGCCACAGAAAGTCCCATAAATGAGATCAATTCCTCAAGTCAGTTAAACCTGCTTCTGTGCTCCTACACGCTCCCCGTCCCTTCCCGGCCCGCACTCTGCAGGCCCAGATGCAGCAGAGCTCCTGGAGGGCGGGCCTCCCCTCCGCCAGAGCCGGGCAGGGTTACCAAGGTAACTCTCTCCATCACCCGAAGTGGCACGCCCTAGTTGCTTACAATCCAGCTCATCAGCCAGGTTAATCTTCGCATCATAAAAAACACCAGAAGTAAGGTCAAGCAAATACAAGACAGTCTCAAAAAATTGAGCAATTGATTGTGATACACACAGTTTTTAGGAAAGCAATTTTTAGGCTTCATGCCATAAAAATTATGCTGTGGTGTTCAGTCTGGGGGAGTGGGACGTTTCTGCAAACACCGTGTGTGACTGGCCTGAGTATTTCACAGAGTAAAGCTTAAGGTTCACATCTCTAAATGAACAGCTTTCCTTTTTCTGGCAAGAAGGTTCCAAGGAGTCTTTCTTTCTGATGTGTTTGGACCACCCAGGAGGAGGATCTGCTATCAAGGCCAAGTTACAGATCATTTGTTTTCACAAATGGCCCAATTTGGAGTAAAGTACAAGCTTCTTTTATGCACATGATGTAGAATTCTTGTATACATCTGATGCTAGCGTGTCCTGGCCCACTCAGGTCCTCTTACCCTCATGCCTCCTCCCTCCTACCTACTGAGAGCACACCCAGGTTCAAGATCACTGTAACCAAGAATGTTATTTAGACTTGGGTAGAAAATGTTAGTGCATTCTTAAATTTTGCAGGCTCTAACATAGAAATGTATATTACTTTAACATAAACTATAGTTGAAATTTGACCTTTTAAAGAAATGTTTATTGCTGAATATAATCCTTTTCCAGGATTCAAGTATAGTAAGAAGGTTGATGTGAATAAAAACCTATTTAGTCTTGTTCTACCAAAGATGCGTCTGTATGGAAGGGCTGGTTCCTATTCACACAGCGCATGAGTCTCTATGAAGTGCAGAACGTAGTGTAGGTGGGAGGCACTGTGGGGGATACCATTATAACTTCATTGGTTTCTACACCCTGAGAAGCTCATAGATCAGTAGAAGGGAAAGGACACATACATAAGCCACTGTGGTCCACGCTGTCCAGGTTTCCGTGAAAAGAGATGTGACCAAGAGATCGGAGACGCTGGGAGAGAGGCCGCCTGCAGGAGGGGGCTGGTGGGGTAGCGGAGGGGCTTCAGCTGGGAAGCCACACACCCCTGAGGGAAGGCCCGGTTTTCACTGTGTGTGGGATCTTAAGCAAGTTTCTCATACTTTCCGAGCATCCGCTTTCTCACGGTAAAAGATTGTCTTGAGGATTGAGATCATAGTTCTGGATGATAATACAGCCCCACTGATGGCGACCATAATACCAAAATAGTTCTCACCTCGGGCTGCCCGTTACACTCACCCAGATAACTTTTGATAATACCTGTGCCCAGGTGCCACCTACAGAGATTCTGGTTTACCTGGTGTGGGCAGGGCTCTAGAAAGGCAGGTGCTAGGAGGATTAACTCCAGGCGCGTTTATCTGTAGACAATGGAGAACAACCGAGCAATGGGGCTTCTCACCACTCTGATCCGCTCCCCGCAGCAATGCCCTTCAGTGCGCGCTTGTGCCGCTCGCTGCCTGACTATTCCAATCATTTTCATTCGTAACATAAAAGTCCCATAAGGGCCTTATCTTGGACTTCCCTTGTGTCTCCTGCAGTAAACAGAACGTTATAGATGCTTCATCAATGTTTTATTTTTTCTCAAACAGACCCAAGTAACAGGTTGATGCGCATGCTGAAAATCTGAGGCACTTGTTAAAAACACAGATTCCCCACTTCCCTCCTAGAGCTTCTGACTCACGACTCCAGAGTCCGAGGGGCGTGGAATCTTGACGTTCAGCAGACTAGCTTTTTTTTTTTTTTTCATAAACTCTGAGTTAAATGACCTCTTCATTCATTTCTCAATTATTCATTAATTCCGAATACTGGAATATACACTGCGAAGCATTAAGAATATACATAATATCATTCCTAGTCTCAAGAACTGCCAGTCTGGTTAGGAAGACAGATAATACGCAAGTAAATAAACCAGCATAAAGGTGCACATTGTCTTCATGAAGGAATTGACCAGGGTGGAACAGTGGGGAAGGATGGGGTAGGAGCTGGAGAAACTACTTCAAATATTCAGGGACGTCTCTCTGAAAGTGGGACTTTTAAGCTTAGACCTAAAGGATGAGAAGGAAGGACTGGATAAGGAGTAGGGGGGCATTCCAGGCAAAAGTAGCGATGCATGCAAACCCCCAAAGGGGTACCAGCTCGGCCTCAGTGAGAGCTAACAGGAAATCAGAACAGCTGCAGTGCGGTCGATGGTGGGGAGCCCGAATGGAGCAAGACGAGGTTGGAGAAGCAGGCAGGGAAGACTGATGGAGGACTCTCAGGCAACGGTAAATAGGTGGGATTTGCCCAGAAAAGCCGAGAGTCGGCATAGCAGTCCAAAGAATCACGGAGCACTCAACATGATAATAATTACGAACCTCTTCTCTTTTAAATTAAACATGTAACAACCGTATTTTCCCTGTATCTTTAAGTATTCCTAAAAATCACCCCCCCAAAAGAAAACAACATGGATTTCTTTCATAGATAGCATAAAAATGGAACTTGCTTTTTTACCTAATTTGACAATCTCTGTTTTAAAAAAAGTGTGGTGTGTTTAGACCATTTACATTTAATGTAATTACTACTGATAGAGTTTAAAATGTTGCATCTTGTTTTCTATTTGTTCCATCTGTCCTCCATTCATGGAGAAGAGACTAAGTGGATATAAATTCTTGTTGTGTTTGAGGTTCCCACAGGTTCTAGACTCCAAATACTAATTCACACTCAGCCTTGAACAATTTTTCCATAATTATAATTTAATTCTTCTTCACAGCTAGTCTGGTGGTGCCACCTTCCTCCTCGCTCTGATTCAGGTGACCCTGTGCTTACGTTTTGTCTTTCCTTGCAGGCACCTGTCTGTCTTTCCTCAAATTCCGGGCTAGTTGGTTGCTCTGCAACTTCAGCTCTCTGGAGAGTTCTTGAAAAGTTACCATTTTATTTATCACATGGCTTCTTCTTATTCACTCTTTCAAGCTCTCTACATCCCAACTACCCCGTCATGTGAATCATAACTAATAGGGATGCTAAAGCAGTTTCAATTCAAATATGAAGTCTCCCTACCTATAGTAAAGTTTGATTCCCAAATAGAGAGTTTGGGGGTGGCAAAAGAAACCTAAAAAAGCAAATTGTTTTGTCAAAAGCAAAGAAAATATGATTCAAACAGGGAGATATGAAGGTGGTGTAAAAGGAATAAGAGACGTCATGATAAATGAAATGTGGTTAGTAAGAAACAAAATTACTTAACATAATGGGAAAACAGAGCTACCACAGTTGATCAGCTAAGGGTTAGTTTGAGTTAGAGTTAGAATTTCCTGCCCCGTAAAACATTTTAAACGCTATCCAGCTAAAATACAAATGTCAGGCAGAAAACTCCAGCTCTCGCAAGATGGTGACGGTGACGTGGCGCCGTGATTTCTTCCAGATTACTCCAGGAAGCAAGGCGGCAGCTGCCAACCTGTGCCCTGGCGATGTCATCCTGGCCATTGATGGCTTCGGGACGGAGTCCATGACTCACGCGGACGCACAGGACAGGATCAAAGCAGCGGCACACCAGCTGTGCCTCAAAATTGACAGGTGCTGCTTAACTAATGGTGTTGAAATGGGATCTGTGTGGCAGGGGAACCTGAACCGAAACTACAAATGATTTCATCCTCCCAGCGAGGAGTGGGTCACAGAAACTAGAATTTCCACTGGCTTTTTTCTAGAACAGCCACTCCGGCCTGTTCTTTCCTGAAGTCAGGCCACCTCATAGTTGTTAACAAACCATTTCTAAAAGGCATTCTCAGGAATGTCAGAAGAGTGAAAGATGCTGATGGAAGTTTTTGTCGTGTGCTAATCCAGTTAATTGACGATGAAAATAGAAGCGTTAAAGGTAATGGCTACAGGAACACGGCAGAGCACAGCTAGCGGTCCTGCTGCTCTACATGTGGTAGAAAATGGAATTCAAGGTTCTCCCAAAAGAATCTCTTGACAAAATGTGGTCATGTTAAAAATCGGTTGCTAATATGCTGTATCCCATTGGCCGTTTTGGACAGAGAGCTCAGCCCAGAAGAATCCCATGAGGTGTGAGGATGTGTGTACGCATGAGCGCACTAGGTCATGAGACATTTCTGACCAAAAACAACATTAGGGAACTGAACCCGACGTCTTGCCATCAGAGCCCTTGTATGAACAATTGTGAGCATAATGTTGTGTTGCAGTGGTTGTTAGTGTGTTTACCCTGTCCCTGCTGTGGTCTCAATGTCCCCTGTGGGCACAGAAGGCAGGCGGTTGACCTGCCCTATGACGGGCTGAAAGGGACTCTCTCCCTGTCTATGCATGACCCCAGTTTCTGTCAAGCACACCGTCCCAGACACATAGGAGGCCTGGACACAGCTCAGCTCCTCGGGGCGATGGCCGAGCCCCGGGCGGTCTCTCGCTGTCTGCTTTGCTGCCCTGGGCTGGCCTGGGGAAAGCAGAGGAGGCCTGGGGAGCTCGCCTGGGGTCACGGGCAGGGGGTCCCTGCAGAACCTCCCGCCTGTGCTCCTGCCACACATGTGGAGACCTCCTTTCTCCAGAAATCATGCAATGTCTTTGCCTCAATCAGTCCGGGTGACTATAACAAAGATACGATGGACTGAACTTAAACACCAAACATTTACTGTATATTGCCATGTATAACGTGCAATTTTTTTGCCCAGATTTTTAAGGGAAAAATAAAGATGCACATTATACATGGGCATAATGATTACATACCATGGGTATAATAATCCTGTGTGTGATATGCCCAGAAACGTGGGTGTGTGTTATACACGGCAAAATACAGGTATTTCTCGCAGTTCTGGAGCGGCAAGTCTGAGGTCAGGCTGCCAGCACACTCGAGTCCTGGGTGAGAGGCCCTTCCTGGGTGCGCCCTAGCCTGGCGTCCCGGGAGCGTGCTCAGAGAGAGGGTTTTGTGCTTCTCCTCTTTTTAGAAAGGCATGCATCCCACCAACACGGCCCTGCCCTTGTGACCTCATCCAACCCTAATTTCCCCCCAAAGGCCCCACCTCCAAATACCATCACATTGGGGGCGGGGGGGGGCGGGGTTCACCATGTGAATTCGAGGGGAGGCACAAACACTCAGTCCACTTGATCCATTCACGCTTCCCCAAAAGTACACTGAATACATGAGACCAGCGAGGTGGGAGGGCACAGAGTGATGAGCAAGAGAGATTGCTTTTGCTACAGCTATCAAGGGTTAATAGTATTTCCACAAACATTATTGGGAGCTGAAGGATACTAGAACTGGAAGTATTGTTAGACTTCGGAGCTCACGAACTGGCTTTTATTTTCAGGGCGGAAACTCGCCTATGGTCTCCACAGGTTTCTGAAGATGGGAAGGCGCATCCTTTCAAAATCAACTTAGAATCAGAACCACAGGTATGAATTTTAGAGTAAACGATATTCGCATTACACTTCCTTTTAAATGATATGGGTGACTTCCAAGAGGAAGAAGTGGCAAATATAAAAAACTGGAATAAGTCTTTACTATCTGAGATTAATTTTGATTACCCATGTTTTCTTACATCAAGAAAACAGAGAGGGCTGCCTAGCCAAACACCTTGTTGAAACAGAAATATGTTCTCATCAGGAAAAATTTGGCTATATCTACATACAATCTGCTTAACTTTTTTTTTACTTTTTATGGTGGACTTCTGCCAAATGACCATGAGGTAATCCAAGGAAGTTAAGATGCTATAACAGAAGGGCAGGAGGAACAACCATTTAGAACAGGTGTCTCTAAGCTGTTACTTGAACTTCAGTCCTCCGTGGTCTTCACCCAGATCTTATTTGGTGTCCGTCTTTAATTCTCGGTTCGGGCATTCTGTAATTCCGTTTGCTCTACGAAAAGTCTTGCATTATGTAATCACGGTGATACTCTGCTCAGGCAGATGAATTATAAAGATAAAGGACTTTCCTTTGCCACAACTCTATCTACTGAGCTAAATTAATTGAATAATCGGATGCTTGTCTGACTATGTCTAGTCTCAAAAGCCCCCCAAATCTGAAATTAAACCAACCCTCAAGTGAGCTGTACGGGAAATATAATTAATAAAAGGGTTTCAGAACCTCTAATTAGAAGCTCCCCAAACTGAACGAGACACCGATATACATTAAATACCCCTTTCAAAAGTAGTATTTCTACTAAGCTGAGTCGACATGCCCAAGGTGGAGTTTTTCTAGGCATCCAGCGAGGATGGAGTAAAAGCGTGTTTGTAACTGGTGCTTCAGCAGCGCTTCCCCCGGGGCTCGTCGGCCCCTGCATTGGTCCTTCAGGTTTCCCACGTGTCTCCATAAGCCCCCATCTCTTCTCCGTAAAGTACGTAAGGTAGCAAGTGTAGGCACATGTATCCCATAGGGCTTCTCAAAGAGTAAAGAAAAAAAAACTTGGCACATCAAATTGCTCACAGAGATATTGAATTAAGCGGGAGTTTTCGTAACTATTGGTACAGTAACACCCTCCCTGACCCCCCGCCAGGCTGGGATCAGAAGTCCCTGGGGCCAGTTCTCAGCAACGACACAGGATGCTGCCCACGTGTCAGGACTTCCCAGAGACCAGGGATGCCTTCCTCGTTACTGTCCGGAGAGTCGTTGCAAACGACTTCGGACTGAAACATGGAAGGACGGGGCGGGGGAGGGGTGCTAAAGACAGGCTGCGCATTCTGACATTGCCCAGGCCCGATCCTGCGAACCAGTCCTCAGAACAGTGCTCTGCCGCCACCGCCGGCTGCTGCAGGGAAAAGTGACCATGCGAGGTGAGGGGGATGTTTAGGCCACATAAGGGCTCTGCTCTTCAGGGTGCGCGAGGAAAAGATAAAGAGGGTGAGACAGGTACGAAATGTGGCAGGAAGAGATCTGAACGCGGACGGGGCTTTACCCTGGCCTCCCAGGTGGGTTGGTGAGTAATACCTGCAGCCTGCTGACTTTGATAGAAGAAAAGATACTACACCAGGGGAAAGATAGGCAAGGAAACTGGGGGGGGGGGGGGGGGGGGGGGGGCGTGTTTTAGGTGAAGATTGGGTTAAGCGCTACAGAAGCCAGACAGAAGGAGCCGTTGAACATTCCTTTAGTGTGAGTCATGAGTAATTCTTACTGACACCCTCCGAGATGAGAGCCATTTCGGTTCTCTTCCTAATGGACCAAAGGATTTCTGCTCCTTACACCCCCGGGCCAGGTTTCTGCATGGTCAGCTCACATTAGGTCGCCACCTCAGGGCAGACAGCCCCTACAGGAGAGGCCGCGGAATTCCAGCACAGCCTCTGCTCTCTGAAATCCCCTAGCACAGACTAGAACAAAATGCGCGACACAAGCCAAGCAGTGACTGTAACTTGTACAATGAGACAGGAGAAAAGCTAAGCTGGGGTGTTGAGTAGTCTAAACTTCTTTTATTTTTTTTTAATTAACACAAAGCTATGCAAAGAGATGTCTCCCCGCCCCCCCAAAATGAGAACTCTGCAAACTTCCGGACAACGAAGGTGTGTCAGTCTCAGAAACAAGTGCTATTACTACACCAGGCTTTAAGATGCCCTTGCAGATGAATAGTAGAACACCACTGAGCAACACACAATTTGAGTTCTTGTTTCCCAGCCCAAGTTAAACTTTTATTATAAGTTATGTGGCCTTTGCTACTGGAATAAAATATTCTTTTTCATTTAAAAAAAAATATACAGTTGTTGGGGGAAAATACTACTACTGTATATCCTACCATCCAAGTGCAGCTGCAAATAGCAAAATGTCAGTGTATTTATTTCTAGTCTTTTTCCCTGTGCATAGCCTTTAGAGACTTTTTCTTACACAGCTATAAGTAATAATTAATACAAAATTTTTAATATCTAGTTTTTTAAAGTTTTTCCACACCATTATTAAATGGTTAAACTTTGTTTTTATGAATTTAGCCTCAAAACCTGAAGGGTTATTTAGATCGATCCCAGCCACTGACCATACAAATTCAGTCCTGACCCCGGATGAGGAGCAGACATGCGCATTTTCCTATACAAGGCGCTACTCTAGACGAAAGTGAGGTCAGAGCCCCACATCCTTCCTTCCTTCAAAGCCTACATGCTCAGATAAAGCATCACCCTCATCCTTGGCTAATGTTAATTGAACAACTCAAAATTATGATGTAGCTATCACAAGACAGGAAAGATGTTTTTCCAAAACAAAAAAATGAGATGATGTCTCTTCTAAATGAGAAAATAGCTGTTTGCACTTCCATATGGAGGGCTGAATCCTTATCATGAAGATTTGATAGTAAGGACGAACTACATATACAGTCAAACAGCATAAGAGCTGAAGTTCTTCCTATTTTCATCAAATAACCTTCTACAATGTTTTGATAACTGGATGGCAGCTTACACAAAGCAAGTTTTCATAGCCCCTGACTCCAATTCTTCCAGTGAGAAATGGGAAAAACTTCACAGATCACTGCATAAAATAATCAGAAGGGTGACTTCATTTCTCATTTGCATGGTGAGGGTGAGGTGGGGGGAGGAATAGTTCATAAATTCCGAACGTTATAAAATACCATTCAATCAGTGTGGCTTGGTCAAATGTATGATCACTTGACTTCGTGTTTCCCTTATTCCCCCACCTTTTTTCTTATAAATAAATATTTGCGTATATTACCAAAAGTGGTTTGTTGGAGTTGACGATTACCTCAGTTCTCAGAGCCAGGCTTTCCCTGTGACAACTTCTCCGTGTGAGGAGCTGAAAGGTGAAGGGTCTTTGCTGTCCTTGCCAAGGTCACCCCAGGGCTTGGGAAGTGTTGTCATGAGCTGCTTCCTCCCTGGTGTTAGCATGTCTCTGCTATGCACTGGCAGCCCTCACATTTCCTTAGCTCAAAATGGCATTCCTTAATATAAGCTCCTAACGTTTAAAAATAATATTTAAAAATGTAATTAATTGCAATGGTTATTTATTGAATGCCTAAGAGATAAGAACCATTTGGAGGCTTTTGTCTGGGTGGAGTAAACACAAGAGCTGGACTCTATTAACTGTTACATGAAGTTTTTACTGGTACTTTCCGTTACTAATGGTTTTCCACTATAAAATAAAAAGACATTAATGTGGAATAGCAAATGTCTCATTGGTTCTGCCCCTCGATTCTGTTGACCATCAACAGTGACCTGAGACCTGGAGAGAATGTTGCCTCTTGGTGTCATCTTAAATGTTTTGTTTATCTACAGTGTACACGTTTCATGGCGCTTTGGGGGGATGACTCTCACATCCCATAAACTAATGCTTTGCAAAGCCTAAATATGGATGTTTAGAGCCTGAATTAGAAAAACTTCCTTTTATGATCTGACTAGAAAATACAGGGGTTATTTTTCCCTTAATACGTTATACATTTGCAACCTTTGCAATATATAACCAAAACTGAAAATGGCAAAGAAAAAGCTTGGAGCTGATTAACTTACGTGCTGCTATTTGAAAGTACCACTAGAGACCATTAGTGCTTAAATGTCATCAGAAAAGTTCCCTCACTTATAGGACAATCACCATCCATGTTTATTTACCACTTTAAGAACTAAAAACATAAAATAAGGGCAGAGATTTTTCCCATAAAGCCATCACACTATGTTAAATAATTTTTATAAATTCAATTGTACTTACCAAGATCTTTAAAGTGTGTCATTCTTTGTTAAAAAAAAAAAATTAAGTTGCAAATAGCCTGAGCCCTTCAGTCCTTCCTGATTCACTCTTAATTAGCCTGAGAGATTTATAATCCACCAAAACTAAATTAGGCAATTAGGCAATTAGCCTTCTGTCTTCTTTCATATTAAAAAGAGTAACAGAGGCCTAGTCATGGCCACTGTCATTACTTAAAATTACTTCCAGGTCACAATTTCATGCCCTCATAATGGCTAATCGTAATAGTGCATCATGAAACAGAGCCCATCTTAATTCATTATTAAATCAGCCAAAACAGTCAGATTATATCACTGAATAGTGTTTGACTACACACATTTTCACATGTTCTGGGATTCAGCATTTTCTCTACAGCCACCTTTGGTTGTTTTCAGTCATTCTGCTGCCTAACATAGCGACTATAATGTCACAACTCCTAGGCAGTGAGCCATTATTCTGGAGGAAAAAGAATGAAATCGATAAGCTAGTGGTAATGCATTCTATAGACTCATAGACTAATGTATTCCACTCAGACCTTTTGTCTAGTTCAGGAGGCTGAAGGCTGTTAAAAGACGCTGTCCACGGCTGATGAGAGAGAAGCCACGTCCACATCACTGCTTTAGGTACAGTGATGTTTGGGGCAGCCAGAGTCAAAAGCTCCTTTGATGCTACGCCCCATTTGCCTTGTTACTATTTTTTTTTTTAAGTGGGCTTTGCCGTTAGGCCTGAGTACGTGTGGCTACTGTCTGCTCAGGAGGACCAAAGGCAAGCATCATGCTGCCTGGGTCCCCACAGGAAGCGGCCGGAGTTCTCGGCACAGGAATCTCTATGCAAAACTCTGATCCCGCCCTAAAAAAGGGAGACAGTCACTTTTCTAACAAAATAAAGCACCGTTCCACAACTTACTCACGTATAATGACAAGAAGGGGGGAAAAATGACATGAACAAGAATTATTGCAAGATGTTTTTATTTTTTAATTAAAAAAATCTCTTTCCAATAACATTTCAAATAACCATAAATGTTTTTACTACTTGAGATGTGTGTGAAATGCTGGTGAGACATTCACAAAAGTAAATGAAGTTGATGTGAATGTGTGAGTGAAAATAGGGCAGCAAAGAATCATCTTACTAAGTCTGCCAGATGAAAAGATTTGAAGGGAGCACTGGCTCATGTGTCTTGTAGCATTCGCTTTTGGTTTTCTTCTCTTGCTTAGGAAAAAAAACTTTATGAAGTTACAAATCTGTATGAGAATTAGAAAACATGATTCCTGCATTACAGTAATAATATAGAGTTTCAGATCACTCAGGCCTATCTTAAATTCAAAGTTTAGGACTCTGATTTTTTACCCTTTTCCCCAAACAATAAAGTGAACATCCTTTTGTGAATCAGATGCATCAGCTGCCTTTGCCTTACTGACTTTAGTCTTTTTGGGGCTAGAGTAAACAAGAAGAGTTCTTTAAACACACAGCAATGAAATCATCGCAATAAAAAAAGGAGGTCTCTATAAATGTTATTGACACTTTCATAAGAAAAAAAGAATTTTTTAATTCTTATTTTTTCTAAAGTTAAGTTGTAACTTAATCCACATTAAGAATTTGGGGTTTTGTTTTTTTGTTGTTGTTGTGGGTATTAAGAAAAAACAGGACTTTTACTCAGATTAGTTAAAATGATGCAACATAGCTATTCACAAATGCTCACTCCCTTTCTGTTTTATTCCTTCATTTCTTAAAATGGGAGAGAATCTTATTAAAATAGTAATATGAGATAAAGTAAATGTAAGTTGAGAAAATGTTAAGTAGAACAGTTTTTCTAAGCTGAAAACCTCATTTCTGACACAAAACTTCTCTATTCATATGAGTCATGAGGATTTTCTAAAAGATACAGAAGTCAACAGGGGGCAGACAAAAGATACAGTGTTTGAATTATTTTATACTACTTTAAATACGGCCAATTCCTTTGCACCTTAACATTTGGTAAATGAATACAGCCCATGTAAATTTCACGGAAAATGCCGAAAGATTTATAACTAACTCCTCCTTTAACCTTGCCTTGAGTCTCGTAGTGGGTAAAGAAGCCTGAGTTAACAATAGCGATGCTGTCGGTTTGCTCACTAATGGCTTTGTTGTGCACTCTGTGGCTCTGTGTATTTTGTCTGCCATTGTACAGGAGTTCAAACCCATTGGTACCGCGCACAACAGAAGGGCCCAGCCTTTTGTAGCAGCAGCAAACATTGATGACAAAAGACAGGTAGTGAGCGCTTCCTATAACTCACCCATTGGGCTCTATTCAACTAGCAATATACAAGACGCGCTGCACGGACAACTGCGGGGTCTCATTCCTAGCTCGCCTCAAAGGTAAGTAGCGGACTCCGTCTCTGGCCACGTGTCCTTCACCGTGATAGCCCAGTTTCTTTTCCTTTCAAAAGTCCAGCTCTTGCTGTTTTGCTTTTACTTTCCTGAAGGCACGATCAGATTTTTATTTTAGAGACAGGCACCTAGATCATGGTTCCCATCCGCCAGCTCCCAAGCAGTTAGCGAACAGATGGTCCAAGGAAGAACCCGCTCCGGCGCCTTGGCCACCCTTCTTAGTCCTGTCGACACCTGGTGGTAAACGGTCTGCTCTGTGGACTCGCTGTTCATCGCATTGTGCCAAAAAGCAGAGACTAGTCTTCCACTGAGGGGCTTTTTAACGGTTTGTTTTCACAGGATGTGAACTACTTTGAACACAAGCACAACATTCGACCCAAACCTTTCGTAATTCCAGGCCGGAACAGGTCATAAGCTTTGAGATTGTGAAGTTTGGAGTGCATGCTTCTTTAATAAATCCTACTAATTGCCAAAGAAAGTAGCTTGGAGGTGTTTGGAGTGACTTTTCCTTGTTTTGAAGCTTATTTCCAAAGCAAAGGAAACAAACTCATGTAGCCGGGTACAGCGCCAACTAACCTCCATTTCTGAGAGTAAACACTGACAAGAGTAGAAGGCTTGAAATGTGAGTTGGTCGCCAGGTCTATTTATAACGAATACCCCTGAGGACCCGGCTCGGAACACAGCGACCTCTGGGCAGGCAGGTGTGCGCTACCCCAGCCCGGGAAGGCCCAGCCAGCAGGACCAAAAGTGGCAACCAGCTCCCCCATCAGGAGCCAGGAAGCAGGCGCGGCACAGGTGGGGACACTGGCGTAACTTGCAGGTTAGACAGACGCTCACCAGCCCACCTCCCACCCGCTCGCTGCTCGCTGCTCACTCCACCATCAGAGTCCCCTGCGCAGGCCCATTCATTATGGCCACTAGTAAAAACCATTTTGCATACTCCTGGATACTTGCAAAGGAAGAGGGGCTCCTTGAGAAGGAAGTTTTCCACCTGGAGGAAACTAAGTAATACAGACGGAGTTGGAGGGAGGGGTATAGACTGTTTATCTCCATGGAAAACTGTACACAGTGGAGTAACGAGCGCGCATCATTGCTGCCTGTCAGCCAGGGGAACGGATCGTCTTCAGATGATCCTGTTCAAAAGTGTTCTCTAGAAACTGCCCCCACCCTCCGAGGGAGGGAACGAACGCCCTGTATTCCTGCATCGGAAAATGGGGCCTCGGGAACCTCACACCCACTCCTCTGTCCTCAGCCGCATCGGGCAGCCCAGAGGCAGACGGTGGCGGTGAGGCCACGCTATCCTAACGGGTCAGGTTGCCCAGCCTGGGGGGCCGTCGGTGGATTCGTGCGCAGACGACGTTTTGTTTAACCCTCCGATTGTCTAACTGAACTTCAGTAAATGCCTCTAAGATGAACACCTATGCTCCAGCTTGTTCAAATGAATGCCCGTCACTCCCACGTGTACGCTTCCTGGGCCATTTCCCCGTATGTGTGACGCTCTTGGCTCCGGAGACATCTGAGCTTAGGAGGCCTGCGGTGACCGGTCAGTCATTACTGCCATGAGATGTCCGCACGCTGACCTCTCCAGAAGCTGGAGTCAGGAGCAGAGGGTTACCTCAAAATAAGCCAGACACTTTCGTGATCTCAGACTCAGAAAGAGCAGGAGACAGGTGCTAAAAGGGCAACTGCTACAAAATACAATCTGCCCCCCCACTAGAAGGGAGCGCGCCGCTAGGTCCTGCCCGCCACTTACGAATGCGCTGGCACAGAGAGCAGCTCCCAAGTGTCCACTGGATACAGGAACAGAACCCGACGGGGGCCCACGATTCCCCGAGTGGCGAGAAGGACCAGCAGCTATGATCCCTCACCCCGCGCCCACCCCCGCCTGCAACTCCACACAATCCTTCTTCCCTTCCCTTTGTCCCCATTCCATTTTCCTCTGCAGCTTCTCCCTGTTTCTCCACATTCAACAGCTTCCCAACCCTCTCCCGATAACTTAACCATACTCAGTTAAAAGTTAAATGCTATTTTGCTACTGAATATACACATACCTCTTCCTAAAGAAGCATAGTTCACGGAATAGACCTGCATTCTTCTGAGGTCAGCATAACTGAAGTGCACCAACTTGAGCTATAGGACTGCAAGAAGCTCAGATAAAGTGATACACTGGAGTAACATATCTCTTGCCTTTGCGAAAGACCAGTAACATTTAATTTTGTGTAACTTCAGGGAAATTCAGGTACGGGACGCCCTTCTTTTCTACAGGGTGGAGCAACGGTAGGTTTACAGTTGTGAGGATGTGAAGCAGAGTTTACTCCTGTATTACTATTTATTTATTATTGTATTATTTTCCATATGAACAACTGTAAATCTTCTTTACCTCACCCTGTATTTCATTTTAATTCAAATACGGTCATACTAACAAGCCACTCATAATTCTGCCATTGTAAGACACCTTTTCAATACAGCTGAAATTGGAAGTGGGAGAGGAGAAACAAGGAAGAGAGATTTGCTTAAAAAAAACACGTACCAGTACACACATCTTAAAGAATTATAAAAATGCCTCTGCTATCTTTCCTTTCTTCCTGTGCCCCTCAGTATTTGCTCTAGCTTCTGCATTTCTGGGTCTCACCAAATGATTCTTCATCAAGGGGAAATTTTGAGTGGCTACATACCAAGCTCTAACTACACCGTTAATGACCAACTTTTTAATCAGAAGTAAGCTGGAAAGGCTAAATTGTTCGTACGTTAATCTCCTTAGGGTCTTACTACTAGTTACAGTTCTTTTAATTATTTCATCATAATTGAAGCATACTAAAAAGCTAGTATTTTCATATGCAAACATGTAAATCTTTAAAGCCAAACTATCATCAAAAATATATACAAGACATTTGGTAGATCCAAATGATAAAATACAGTCCTGTGAATGGTGTCAGACAAGTCCCTTCGAGAAGCACGCCCCAAAAAGTCTGTGCACATGCCGGAGGAATTAGTTCTCTCCTTAATGATCTACCCACAAGTGAAGTGGTTGAGGGTATCATCAGCCTCACAGGTGGGCTTGCCAAGTCAGTAAGTCAACGTCAAGAAATCTCATTAGCATCTACCTTCCCAAGTCACAGGAATAGGTCATGGTGACCCAGGATGAGGTCCACAGCGACTGCAGTCCATGAAAACTTTTTTTTTTAAGCGTCAGTTCAAGAGAACTTTTAAAATTATCCCAGAAATTGGTAAAAAGAAGATTTCTTGTTTGCTTAGAGTTCCTTTCCTATCTATTTAATAGAGAGGGGCCCCTAAATAGAATGATAAAGAAATTAGGAAATAGAATACAATCTTTGCTGAACTAAAGGCACGTACATTAGCATGCATGTATAAAGAATACTAACAACAGAAAAAGATGACTAATTACAACTATAAAAAGAGGAACATCTGTAAGTTCTGAACTGATCGTAACTTATCCACTGCCTGGCACTTTGCCTGGTGCACAGGAAGGTCAGAGTAGTCATAAATGCTTGTTGAAAGGGTTCACTACTTTAAGCCCAAGTCTCTCAAGATTTAACTCCTTTCAAATCCCTAAATTACAAGTTAGTAAGCTTCATTACACTCAGACCGAATCAATACGATCCTGACTAACCTGCATTACAACTGAAATTTTACCTCTATCCTTTTACCAACTGAAGTCAATTCCAGGAGCCAGTGTGGTGCTGAGCCACCAGAAATGGTGAACAAGGCACTTGGCTTTTGGCATGCGATCAAGCAATTCACAGATTTTCAACAGGGTCTCAATCCAAGGAGTGGATGAGCGAGTCCATATTTACCTGCCTAATTTAGGCTCTGCAGGTGGTTGAATTGGATAAAGCCAGACAAACCCAAAATTCTCATCCATGGAGTGACAAGGGCTGCCCAGGCTACTCAGGCGGCGACGCTGATGAAGTGAGCAACATCGGGGCCCCGAGCCTTTCGCTCTGTGCTCCCTGCAGGGAGCTGAGGTTAGATGAGCAGCCCTAGACGGTAAATGCAGAGGCAGACACTGATGAAGTGAGCAACATCGGGGCCCCGAGCCTTTCGCTCTGTGCTCCCTGCAGGGAGCTGAGGTTAGATGAGCAGCCCTAGACGGTAAATGCAGAGGCAGGTCATACGTGAGCCCTAAGAGAATGCTGACGTCGACGCAAATACACCCTATAAACCATCTCCTGGCTGGAGTTTAACAGCAGCACTAACCTGCAGGCATGACAGAGTTTACTTGAATACTAAAATTGCTTTTGGCTTTGCCTTAAATGACTGTGTTTTTAAAAAAAACAAAATCTCTGTATATTTCATTTTCTTGCAAAATGCATTGCTCATGCTGCACGTAAAATGCATGTGGAAAAATGACTTTTTAGTCCTTGGCTTGTCGGTTGCGACCAGCCTCCTATCCAGCTTCAGAGAGAAAAAGACATCTTCCTAGCTGTTCTGAAAGGGGTATGACTGACCTTTCTGATGTTTTAATTAGAACTCCCCTCAACCTGTCTGTAAAAGGGAATGATACATATGCATGAATATATGAGTGTTTCCAAAAGTTTACCTGAAATAGCTATGTATAGAAGAAATATATCTGAGCCCCAGGTGGCATTCAAAGAGTTCGAGATCACCTGATTTGCTCTCTAATCTTTAATTTCAAGGTGACAAGCATTTGTTGGCTGTTCTAGAGCCTGTAGGAAATCAGTGAACAATTTTTTAAAAACGTATTCCTCTCAAAATTAAAGAATGAAAGTAGGAAAAATTAAAATAGTCAAAATAGAATGTTGACGAGATAGCCTTAAAACATAATCTTTATCCTATAACCTACATGTTTCTAATTACTATTCAATTACACTAAACTGCATTTCTGAAACATACATATTTTGAAATGTTTGGCCTAAATATTTAATTGAATCTTCACATGGCATATTCAGTTACATACGGATCATTCATTAATCTTTCAATGTTAAATACTGCACCTCAGAAATGTAAAAGGATGCCCAGCCAGTGTAATTTCTCCGTATCATTTGTCTGTGATATTGTCAAGTTTAAAATTATCTGGCCTATTTTTAAAAAGTGAAAGCTCTACTTTATATACAACTTGTTTACATGTAACCTTGACCTTACATATCACCTGGTAGAACAGAACCAAAAATGCAACTCACCTGTACCTTTTAATTTTGTGAAACATTTTTCAAGCAGGAATTTTTAAATGTCCTCCCTCTTTCAAATAAATCGTAGCCAGAAATCGGCATTTTGTTTTATTCTGATCTAACTCACTTCTTTCTTTTTGTCTTCCACCCCTTTTAACCCCTCTGTACTTGTTCTCTGTGTTCTCCTGTCCGGTTTTTCTGCTTCCTGGGCCACCCCTGTGTAACGCGGTCATCAACACAGTGCATGCAGCACGCCGTCTGGCACTGACGGTGGCAGCGGACGTAGCACCCCTTCTTCTGTCAGCACCATTAGTAGTATTTGCCCAGGTGACTTGAAAGTCGCTGCTAAGATGGCCCCTAACATTCCTTTGGAAATGGAACTTCCTGGTGTGAAGATTGTACACGCTCAGTTTAATACACCTATGCAGTTGTACTCAGATGACAATATTATGGAAACCCTGCAGGGTCAGGTTTCAACAGCGCTAGGGGAAGTCCCCCCACTGAGGTAATGCGAGTCTTGGTGAACCCCGGGCATGCGAACTAAACACGTGCGCGATGTCGACTTGGCGGGTGTCTTTTAACATTGTCTTACGTGAAAGAAAGCTATGTGGGAAGCTTTAAAGAAAAAATACTAAGGATTTTTTTTTTGGCAAATATCTAGGCCTAATGATAAAGTTGATTTGAAGAATTAACTGAGTAGCACTTTATGTGACCTATCATAATAAACTGAAATCATGGAAGGACCAAATGTACGATATATGTGTTTTGAAAAGCTACAATGAACTTTGCAAATGTCTGGTATGATACTTCTCAAAAATGATTAATAATCTAGTTTACTCTATGTTTCTCCTTTGGGGGTCAAAAATTGGGCAGGGATGGGAGGTCCTGAGACGTTTTAAAAGAGATGATACTTTTCTTTTCTAATGACATCAAGTGGAGAGGTACTTTTCTATTTAAAATTTCTGCCATGAATAAGGGTTTATAAATGAATATCTCAAGCTATTAATGTAGATATTTAACTTCCAAAGGTCTCTATTTTGACTAATTTCTTCTTTATTATAAATACTTGTTCAAAGTACTTTTGCCATCCGGTTTTTTCCAATTAAAAAAATATTTTAAGAAAACCATTACTTTTTTCAATATTACAGAACCACTTTTTATAAATTAAAATAGTATAATGCTTAAGAGTGCTATGCAACAATATCCCACAGCTATCTCTTGGGATGAATACAATAAGATAATAATAGCATAATGTAGCTCAAAGCCTTTTTTCAAGGAAATTCAGAGATATAAGATAATTATTTCCACATATGATGTAGGTTATAAAATTATGTATGGATAGCAACTACCTTTTTTAGACAATGCAATTAAATAACATAAAATAATAAAGCATTTAGTGCCTGACATGTAGTTTTATTGTGGCATTTTTAATTGCTCATCATGAATATATTTGTGGAAAGTTTATTAAAATAAAGCTTCTACTGTTGTAGTAAATTAATTATAATGTGGCAATTTAGACAGTGTAGTTAATATAACTTACATATATGTGTAAGTTTCTATATTATGTGCTTTCGAATACTGACAATTTGAATTTCTTCAGTTTATAAGCAAAGTGATAACCTTGGTTTCCAGGAGTTAACAAAGCAGAATAATCTTAAAGACAAAATTAAACCATATACTTTCGGTTTAATATCAGAAAAGAATCTGAACTTAATGACAATTTTATGACTGAGAACAACTGAACTGGCCTCACTCCTGCACTATCGTGTGTATGTTGTCTTTTTTCTAAGAAAAAGCTTATTTTTTTCCTAGTGATAATTATACATCCATCAGCCACAAGTCTTTTTTTAAATTACTATTTCCTAACATTTTAGTTGCCCTCTAAAGAATTTTGCTGAAAGCAGAAGTACTGATGCGGCCCCAAGGTTAATTAATGGCATTTTTTAAGGCAGCCCATATGAATAAATGTTATTTTTTAACTATAATAGAAATTAACTTGAAAACACTGAATCTCTGCTCAGGAGTTACTGCGGACATAATGATCACTATTCATGGGTGTCTTGTGGCTTTTTGCACGTGTGTTGCCTCACGTGCTCCTGATGCCGCTTTGCTGCCATTGCGTTTCAGTGAGCCCACAGCCTCGGTGCCCCCACAGTCGGATGTGTACCGGATGCTCCATGACAATCGGGGTGAACCCTCGCAGCCTCGCCAGTCGGGCTCCTTCCGGGTGCTCCAGGAATTAGTCAACGACGGCCCCGGTGAGTCGCCAGGAACGCCTGCTGCCACGCTCCTGACAGAGCCTGTTGGAAGGCTGCGGGGAGGGGAGGACAGCAAACAGACTGGGGAAGAAAGTCTAAATATTGGTTTTATCCAGAAACCAAATGCATCTTGGCCTGAAGGCTTTGGGTGGTGCCTGGTTTAGGAAAGGAGCTTCCAGAACGTGTCCAAGCAGCCACAAAATTGGTAGAAAAGTACCAAACACAAATTCCACCCGCAGTTATCAAAGGCTAGCTGAGCCTACAAATTTTAAACAGTGTTAAGTAGACAATGCAAAATTTCCCAGCCTCCCCATATTCCAGCGTATCATCATAAAAATTTGCAAGTAACGCAACAAGCCCTTAAGTATGTTCCACATTCTATGCTACGTACCTTGCGTGCATTATCAGTTAATCCTCACAAAAACTCTGAAACAGGAGCTCTTATTTTCCGTTTAACAAATGAGAAACTGAGGCATAGAGGGGGTGGATTTGTACAAAGGCACACAGCCACCAAGGAGCAGAGCTGGGTCTGCAGCCCCTCCTGCTGTTTTGGGGTCTCATACCAATGTTTTCCCACCCCGCAAAGATACACACCGTCCTTTCAAGTCGCACAAAAATGCAAAATGCCCCCTTAGGGTGGCTATTATCAAAAATAAAGGGGAAATTACAAGTGTTGTGAGGGTAGTGGAGAAACGAGAACCCTTGTACGTTGCTGATGGGGATGTAAAAGAGGGGGTCCACCGCGGGGCAGTTCCGCAAAAAGTTGAACAGAGAGTCGCCACACGATCCAGCAATCCCACTCCTAGGCGTGCACCCAAGAGAACTGAGGGCAGGGACGCAGACACGTGTGCGCCCGCGTTCGTAGCAGCGTTATCGCCCACAGCAGAACGGTGGGAACAGCCCAGATGGCTACTGACAGATGAAAGAACAAACAATATGCGGGCAATGGGATGTTACGCAGCCTTAAAAAGGAATGAAATTCTGGCACATGCTTCAATATGGGTGAAGCTTCAAAACTTTCTAAGTGAAATAAGCCAGACGCAAAAGGACAAATATTGTGATTCCACTTATGGGAGAACAAGGTTCCTAGAACAGACAAGTCATAGTGACAGAAAGTACAATAGTGGTTGCCACGGTCTGCGAGGACAGTGATGGGCAGTTATTAACGGGTACAGAGTTTCCGTGTGAGATGATACAATATTCTAAAAATGGATATAGGTGATAATTTTATAACATTGTAAATGTGCTTAATGCCAGCGAATTATGCCCTAACAACGATGAAGATGATCAATTGTATATTATGTATATTTTACCACAGTAGAGGAAATTGCAAATGTTCTCTGCTCCTTTGAGCATTTTGTAACAGCTCCTACAACAAAAATCCTGACCAAATTCTCTTTTCTAAGGCCCTGTTTCAGAGAAGGGTGTGCTTGAGCTGCTCCTACTCCTTTTGAAATGATACTACGGCTGCAGCTTAAGAGTTCCTTAGGTTAAAGTGCACGCCCTGAAATAGAAGCGAAGTGCAAACTGGAGCCAGCTGTTCCCTCGCCATAAATGGAAACACTTTGTTTTTCAGATGACCGTCCGGCGGGGACTCGGAGTGTGAGGGCTCCAGTTACAAAAGCCCACGGTGGTGCTGGCAGCACACAGAAGATGCCACTCTGTGACAAATGTGGGAGTGGCATTGTGTAAGTTCCTTTTTTTTAAGATTTGATTTATTTATTTTTAGAGAGAGGAGAAGGGGGGGAGAAGGAGGCAAAGAAACATCGATAGGAGAAAGAAAGATTGATTGGTTGCCTCTCACGTGCGCCCCAGCTGGGGACTCGCAACCCAGGCACGTGCCCTGACTGGGAATCAAACGGGTGACCTTTCATTTGGCAGGACGACACCCAACCAATTAAGCCTCACCAGCCAGAGCTAAGTTTCATTTTTAATGAATTCCCAGGAATTCCCTATAAACCTCGGTAGCAGCTCTCCTTTCTAGTCATTGATTTGAGATACTACATCCACTACACATCATTTTGACCAGAATTCCGTAGATAGTGGCCTATAATGTGCGTCAGCAGTCTTGACTTATAATTTCTGATTATTCTCATGGAAAAAAAATGCCCAGAGTATATTTTAAAAATCCTTTCCAAGAATCAAAACTTTCCTTCCAGAAGCCCTCCCGTTGTTAAGGTACACAGCCTTTAGGTATTTCCTTTTCTATATAAACCAGGGAAACAAATACGAGGCCATCAGGTTGTTCATGAAACACATTCTCTTTGCCCAGTTTCTTAAGCTGCAGAAATATTCAAACATAACTTTTAAAAATGCAGGCAGCTTCCATTTGTTTCAAGGGCCTGTATGGTTGAAAACCCACACTTGCTAGTTCAAACCTTCAGGTGAACCCGGTCACCCAACCTCTCCCCTGCAGGTGCCCCAGGGGGCCACTTCTCACGTCCCTATGCTCCTCGCTGCTGCCGTGAGCACCCACGGAGGCAGCACCTGTCCCACTACCCAGGGTCCATCCCAGGAGGGCAGTGGGCCGCCAGCCTGGTCACAGCAAAGGGGGGCAGGGATGTGGGACAGAGAGAAACAGGCCGGACAGGAAGCTCAGGAGCAGAGAGGACGCTCTCAAACAGGACAGTTGGTGATGTCAGCAAAAACCAGCTGTCGCTCCTCAGTGATGACAAACTGCGGGGGCAGTACACGCGAGTCCCGGCCCACCCCCGCTGTGTGAATGGCACCTCGGCTCTTCCATCTGTTTTTTCCCTACTGCACAGAGCAAAGGCTGGGCCGCCAGGGCAGGGGGCAATCAGAGGGGCTTTTAGTTGTGTAGGCCTGGGGTCCCCAAACTCCGGGCTGTGGGTCGGTACCAGTCCTGGCCTGTTAGGAACCAGGATGCACAGCAGGAGGGAGCTTAAATGTAATGCGCTTGAATCATCCCAAAACCACACTCCCCCCACCCCTCGCCAGTCCATGGAAAAACTGTCTTCCACAAAACCAGTCCCTGGTGCCAAAAAGCCTGGGGACCGCTGGTGTAGACAATAACCCTGGTCAGAATCCAAACCCACTGCAGAATCACATCCCCCTCTTCCAAAGAGACAATAGGGAGAGATCACAAAGAGCACATAATTTTCATGTCAACGACTTGTCTGAAAAATCCAAACAATAGTCACATCAGAGAGAGACGTGGGATGGTTCCTTCTGGCTGTCCTGCGACTCCCTGACAATTACATCAGCGTCACCCCTGGACGTCTGGAGGCTCTTGTTTCCCGAGCGGGAAACAGATACCACCTGCCGTATCTGTAGCTGTCACCGCCGTCCCGGGGTCGGGGCTTTGCAGTGCTGACCCCATCTCCTGTCTCTCCCCAGCGGGGCTGTGGTGAAGGCCCGCGATAAGTACCGGCATCCCCACTGCTTCGTGTGTGCTGACTGCAACCTCAACCTCAAGCAAAAGGGCTACTTCTTCGTGGAGGGGGAGCTGTACTGCGAAACGCACGCGAGAGCCCGCACGAGGCCGCCGGAGGGCTACGACACCGTCACTCTTTACCCCAAAGCCTAAGTCTTACGCATACCGCAGCACGCACGCACGCACGCACGCGCACTTACACAGGAAGACGTTAATGACTTTGGGCAGAAAAATAGCACACTGCTGAGTCCCAATCTAAAACCAAGGCTTTTAGATGTTTATCTTACTGTGTCCTCAAGCGAAGGGACGGGAGGCACATTCTTGCTATAGCGCAAACATACTGCCAGCTATGTTTTGCAACTCTTACTCTTTGGAGCTAGCAGTAACCGAATGGCATTTAAACCAATAATGTTTTTGTATGTCGTGTTTCACAATTTAAGTTTATATGATGACCATCAACCATGTAAACGTCAAGCTATTGGGGAGAGACTAATTTTCTTTCCTTAACAAGCTGATTTAGCAATTGTATTAAATACCAAGTGATCACCTTGTATCCTAACACAACCTGCAGCCATCTGTTATCTGCTTTAACAATTAAAGTGCATGTCAGGGAGAAGGTCCCTGGATTTCTCTAGTTTCATATGCAACAATTATACCACTGGATGCAACATGCCTAGGAAACACATAAAACATTTTTAAAAATACCTAACACAGTGTCACTCAATGAATTCAGCTAAAATCAACATTCCAGGGAGAGGACCCAATCGTATGTGCTGACTCAGGTATTTTAAGAAAGCGTGGCTTCCTTAGCTTTTAATACTCATTGGCACTTTCTTGGGTGCTCACAATTCCTGCTGATAGGCGGGGCATTTAAATTTGCTAGTTAAAGGTAACGCAGTCTCTTTCAGATTAAAACAGTTTCTTTTGCGTTGAAATAGTCTCTTTGATTTTAAATGCCTCTTTCAGATAAATATTCAGTCCAATTCAAGGATCCGACTCCATCAAGGCTTTTCTTCGTGCCCAGAGCTTGATCACTGCCTCCTCCTCCTCCTCCTCCTCCGCAAGATGGCACCTCCAAGAGGAGACAGTGTAGGGGACCTCTTGAGGGAGGGAGGGGCTCCTGGTCCCCTGGGGTTCAAGGTGCCTCCCCGTGGTCTGTTCTTCTTGGCATAGTTGGGTCTAGGCAATAACGCCACCTCTACGAACACCTCCAAAGCATCAGCTCAGCCCTCTCTAGGGCCAGACATGGCCACCAGGGGAGTTCCGGCCTGTCCCATGGCGGGGCTGTGACAATGCCCCTGACTGGCGTGTCTTATCTATTTCCCATGCTCCTCACTGGGGACACGTGGGAACTTCTGCAACTGCCCCCTCCAAGGACAGACATGGGGCACCGGCAGAGTGGGGAGCCTGTCTCTCGCCCCCTTGTCTCGCGACCTCATCACAAAGTCACCTCTAGCCCACTGCAGCCGCTGTCCACAGGCCTGGAGCAGGTTTTCTCCCGTGGTCCGCTGAAATGAGAGCTAGCGCTCAGGTCGCGTTGCTCCGGGACTCGCCCAGACTTCTCTCATACCACCGCCCCTGGCCAGTGAGAGGAGCCAGAACACCTGTCTGCAGCTCCAGGCACTTGAGATTACAATGGAAACTCGTGCGCCAAAGCCTAAATTCATTAACAGCTCCCAAAATAAAAAAAAAAAAAGAAAGAAAGAAAAAAGAAAGAAACTTTGAGGTCCGAGAAATGAATGGATCCAAAATACATTACATTTTGGGTTCCGATGGTATTTGGAAGTATTTTGCTGTGGGAAAGATACAAACTTAAAAACTTGGAAGCCAGAGAGCAAATGAATGGTAACTGACCTAGAAAACCTGAGAAAGTTAACACCCAAAGCAGCGGGAGAGGAAACTGAAAAGCAACCCAATTTGCTCTCCTGAATCTTGAGAAGGTGTTTGAGGGCACCACGCATTTCTGGGCTGGAGGGTGAAGGAGGAGTTACTGCTGCCAGGAGGCTCCGGCAGTAGCTGTGGGAGGAGCCCCTCGCCCCAGGGGTGTCCCCATCCGCCCCACACGGTCACACCCCAGGGCGCATGCCAGCAGCTCCGTAGTATCTGCAGAGGCTAACCCAGCACCCCTGTCCTGGAGGCAGGAAGCCCAGTGGAGGGCTCGTGTACCCCATTGAAAGGGGCTCTACATTAAGTAAGAATTACTGGCTCCTGACAAAAGCGTTCACCTGCTCTCCGTCAGCTTCACAAACAGAGCCCTCATCTGACCCAAGAGCCTCGCTTGGGAGCAAGGGCATTCCCGTGGCTTCGGGCCCTGTCCCAGTGAGGAGAGCTCCGGAACGCCTCCCCTCCGCGGAATGCGAGCCCTCCCGTGGCACTGAGACCGGTCACCCCTGGCTGCTCGGCGCGAATCAGGCTCACTGCTCTGTTCCCGAGGTCCTCTCTCCAGCTTCTTTTCCCCACTCTGCCTCTCTCTGTCTCAGCCTTCTCAGCTTGCAAACATGCTCAAAAACTCTAGCCATGCTAAAAAATACCTCTCTCCCTATCACCTATGCCTTCTCAAGCTCCCTTCCTATCTGTGTGGATCCCTTTAGCACACCCAGGGCCTTAGGCTTAGGCCTGCTCGCCTTTCTCAGTACCCCCACCATACTGCTATTAACAAGTCTTCTTAAAGTGGCAGTCAGCTTCCTAAGAGCTGAAGCTAGTGGCTATCCTTGGTGAGTTGTGGGGTTCATTCTCCTATTCAGACATAAGCAGTTGCAATGAACACTAGAGGAAACAAGGCGAGATGCGGAGGGGGTCGCATTTCAATCAAGCCCTCCAGCGGCCGGGGGCCCGCCACCCACCCAAGACTTCCTAGTCACCGGCACATAGGTCCCCCTCCCTGACCAAAGCACTAGCCTTAGGACAAAGGCCCCAATTTGTTATATCCCAGGGGCAGTTTGGTTATTTTTGCATAGACTATAGATCTCAGCTACGATTAATCCGAACCTTGTGATCTCAACATTCAGGATCTTCCGAAGCTAAAGAATGCAGAAGTCTTTTAACCGGCTAACGCCTTGCTAAGAATAGCCCTGACCAGCTTGTTTGGGTGCGCTGCCCTTGAACTGGTTGCAGATTCTTGAATCAGCAGCTGTTGGTCAACAGGTGAAAGCGCATTCTCTAAGGAGAGCTACTGTTTGAAGATTTTGAAATATTGTGATTCAGAGATTTTTTTTTAATTGGCAGTACAGCCTTTAATTCTGTCCTTTGCAATGAACTTCACAATCAAAAATCAGACCGTCAGGGCAGCAGTTGGACTGACAGGCACATTGGCCGGACTAACTACACCCCACCGTCCACCTGCTACAAGGTTGGATGAAACAGCAACAGCCTCTCCACACTGAGAAGGCGGTGCTGGCAGAGTGTGATGTCACTTCCAGAAACAGGAACTTTTAGCTCTAGCATTAACTATATTTACCTCTATACTCTTATAAAATTTAGATGACCTGTTGTCCTATCTCCTAAAACTGTAGTTCATTATGGAGGAAAAAAAACATTATAATGAACTGATTTGGGCAAAGCCAGGGTCTCAGAACCAGGAAGTCTAGCACTGGTCAGTTCCAGAGTATTTCAAAAGTTCCTAGCCTTCCCATGTGTCAGTTTTTCCCCATACAAAGTGGGGCAATCTCAACACCATTAAGTAGAAGCAACAATAGTTCACTAAAAGCTTAAATACTGGATCCTAATTGCATTACGAAGGGAAGAACATTAACATCCCCTAGAGTGGGCACCTTCCTTCTCAACTTTGTTTACTGATTTGAAGTGGAAAGATGACCCAGTCAGTGTCCTGGGAGCAGGGACAGGGACAGGTGGTCCCGGCAAGTGTAACGCACATTTTGCCAGATCGTCCTTTCCGTGCATGAAATGCCCGCGTGCTATCGAAGGTGCTGAGCGCCCCACGGTAGGCAAAGAGCCCAGGAGGGTCCCAGAGGACCCCGGCCATCCTGGGCTCCCTCCGCAGGATGGGGTTTCCTCCATGTCAGAATCGAAAAGAAATTTCACTACACTGCTCCCTTTACTAATTCCAATGTATGCTCTTGACAAGCGAATATCATTTTACTTGACTTGAGCAACTTAGCAATGAGGAGCTTGAGGGTCAAGGTGGTAGAAGGAGAGCGCACACATAAGAAAATACATTTTACAATGTCTTCAGGTAGAGAGCTGGTGTGAGAAATCGTGTTCTTTATAATAAATGGTGGGTCAAGAGAATAACCATAAAAAATGGGTATTGACACCTGCCTCAGACTCATGAAAATCAACTCCAGATGAATAATAAATCTAAACGTGAAGAGTAAAACAATATGGCGCTTATAAAAAAGCATGGAAGAGCCACCTCATGGCCTTGCGAGAGGAGGTGCTGGGCGTCCGGTCCCCAGGAGGGAAAGGAGGGCACCACGTGTGGGGCGCTCCGGCACCCGTGTGCGGAGCTGGACAGGTGCGGAGCGCGCCTGCATGAGGCCGGCTGGTACGTGGTTTCAGGCCCAGCGGGGATGTGCGGGTCTTCTACACCGCGTGGAGGACCCGCACAGGGTAAGAGAGCTCAAGAGGGGAGGCCGGTATGTTCTGGGAGGAGGGAGGCCCAACGCAGGGTCCAGAGTCTAAACGGAGTAGAAGGGCAGGAAGGGCAGGTAGGATGTAGTGCACTGGGACCCGAGCGGGAGGGCCCAGGCACCCCCGTGGGGGCCATGGCGAGAGGCTGGCGGTGGGAGAATGAACCCAGATGGGGGCATGGCCCATACAAGTAAACACACAAAGGATAATGGGAATCCACTTTCTTGCTGTTGGTAGGGAAATTACACACGTGGAAATGGAGAAGACAAGAGCGAGCACCGGGATGCTGGATGGGAATGGGAGGCATGGTGAACTCACGGAACTCAGTATAGATAGATACAGAAATAACACAGGTCGCATGTGTGTCTGTATGTGTAAATGTACATACACACACGTGCAGGCCTTCCCTAGGCCGCCCCCCGGAGGTGGCCGAGAGCAGCCACCCCCGGGGAAGAAGGAGGCCCCGACAGCCACAGGCACACACGCCGAGCACTCACGTCCTGGCTGCCGAAGGCCATTCTCCTGTAAAGGAAACACAGGCTCCCTGGAGCAACGGCCGTTTCCAGGCAGGGCCGGCAGAGCACAGGGGGAGCCTGGGCACCTGCGTCTGCCGAGGAAAGGAAGACACGCTCTGGTAGCGAAGGAGCGGGTCAGCCTTCCCCAGACGCCAGCTGGAGACACTCCCGCGGCCCCAGGGACTGAGGGACATTTAAGCAGCAATGGGATCATGCTCACAACAGAAGGCAACCCACTGAGTAAAACCGGAAATGCTGGGTCCACAAGACTGAGTGACGTGACACGTCATGACAATTACATGCATGCACGATTTGGGACTGAGCCCTTTAGCTCCTATAAAGGACGTTATTGGGGGAATGGGTGAGACTTGAGTGAGGTCTGAGGATGAGATGGTACTAATGTGTCAGCACTAACTTCCAAATTGTAATGGCTGTTTGTGCCCATGTTGAAGAGAGTCC